CGGCCGGACTGAGGCGCGGGCGGGCGGGGGGGCTCTGGGCCCGCTCCGTGGGGGCGGCTTCCCGACAGAGGCGGTCGTGAGAAACGAAATCGGAGCCGGTCCCACGGCCGTGCAGGACAGGCCCGAGTGACAGGCTGGCCCGGCGTGTGGCCTCGAGGGCCAGGCGAGTGGGAGTGGCGGCGGGCGGGCGGGGGAGGGACCAAGAAGGGGAAGCCGGCAGGGCGCAGGACGTTCTGTGGGGTGCGAAGGACTGGAGCTGGGCGTGGGCACGGGACGGGGGCTCGTGGGGGCGAAGCCGGAGAGCGGGGTGTCTCAGGCGGACGCCAGAGGCTGACGGGAGGGCGATGCCAGGTCTCTGTGCCTTCGGGGCGCACACTGTCAGTTGCTGTGCTTCCAGGGAGGACAGGCTGTCTGACGGGGGACCCCGCCACGGCGCCGGGACCCCCGACAGCGCCGGGACCCCCCCTCAGGGCCGGGATGGTGTAAATGTGACGGACACAACGAGAACCGCCCTTTCCAGAAGGAAGCAGCACAAAGCCTCCGCCCCAGTTGGGAGGAGGGGTTCTCTGTCCAGGGAACCTGCTTTGGCCTGAACCCCACATCGCGTGCCCAGCGGGGGCCTCCATTTGAGGTGGCCTCAGGCGAGAGCCCCCGACGCAGAAACCAGTGAGATCCAGGTTAAGCTCCCACTTGGTAGCTGTGAAGGTGGAAAAGGCGCTGCTTGAAGCTAAGGAAATAAGACACAAATTCAAGAGAGATAAAGCTGGACTTTGGGGAGATGGAGATACAGGGCTGCTGGGTCCCTCAGAAAACGACAGAGCAGGGGCCCTGGCCGCAACGGGCGAGTCGCAGCACTGAGAAGCTGCCGCGGCCACTGCAGCCTGAGTCCACCCCGGCCAGCGGGGGACCCCAGGGCGCAGCAGACCCTCCTGGCCCCCGCGGCCCCTCAGCAGTGTGTCTCATCTGTTCTGCTCCCGACTCAGTCTCTGGGGGCTCCTCTCACCCCCACACCTCTGGCCTGTACCCCAGTTCTATCTGCATCAATAAATAAACCTTTTTTTTAAATTTATTGATGCACACAGAGCTGGTACAGGCCAGAGGTGCAGGGGCGGTGAGAGGACTCCCCAGAGACAGAGCGGGGAGCAG